GAATTAGCAGCTGAACCTCCCTATCCGGACCCGAGTGTCTGATCCACCAGTTAAACCTGATCCTATCATGTGATCTGTATGCTCTCCCCCTTTCTTTTTTAAGACGACACATGCATGCAGAAAGGTGTTTTTCTGGAGTGCCTCTTTCATTCAGAAGGAGAATTTTCAGAATTAAGGTTTCCCAGCAGGTGACTTGGAGATAGCTACTTCAAGACACAGGTGCATGGCCTTTGGGTCAGGTTAGCGATGACATTTTTTAAAGCTCTTCTACTTCTTTTGCCTCACTTAATGATGGTTTCTTTATGAGGGCAACTCTGCATATGCGCACACAAGAGGTCTTGAGTGTTGCCACTTAAGCGGTCTCATGGTGAGACATCTTCCAGAGGATTTGGGGAGCTTGCTTCTTTTCCTGGATTTGAAAATGTTAGCTCTGCTGGAGAAAAAATTTTTAAGAGGCGTCTGTCTCCAAAGATTCAGCGTACCTTTATTAAATAGAAATCCTTTTAAGTCCAAAATAAGTTAATCTACTTTTTAGATACATCACACCTCTGGGTGTCACTTGACTTAGAGCAACTTACACATTTGAGGTCTTCAAGCTCACCAGCTCTTCAGATATTATGGTTGCTAAACTGTCTGTGTGCCATTTCTACTGGAACTTTTCTATTCCTGTCCTCAGGGCTTTGGGGGGAAAATAAATAAATAACTAGCTTAAAAAAAAAAAAGTATCATTCACTTAATCTCTACTGTGTATTTTTGTCTTTCTAACTCATCAAATGCCTTTGCAATTTTACTGTAGCATACTTATTGGGGATACTGCCTATGATTTCCAGGTACCTAAACGCCTTGGATGATTTGGCCCTTAGTCTGTGGTGTTAAGTTGAATAGCTGCAATACCGGTTGAATATCCTGTATTCCTAAAAGGATGTGACAGCTCTGAGCTGGAGCGAGCTGTGCTGATGCATCTAAGTCATCCTGTTCTTACTATTGCTGTGTAAGAACTGCAGTGGTAAAACAAGAACTGAAAACAAAGACTTTGCTGTGGTTATTTACTTGCGCACAAGGTTGCATCTGGCAAGTAAGAGCCTGGGAGGAAGAAACTATAGTATTTATTAATTTTATCCTGTTTAAAGTTGGAATGAAGGGTCTGGCCCTCAAAAAACAAAGCCCATAGTGGCATAAACTCCTTGTATGGAGCTTGTGAGCAGCGCTTGTGAGGAAGCCCAGTCCTTCAACACACCCCCTCTGAAGTTACTGAGACAAGGTGATGATCTTTTGCATGATGATACCTTGCAATTTCATTTTCCCTAAACTTACTTGAGGCTTGGCTTTAGCAGTCCAGGTCCAGCTGAAGATTCCTATTAGAAAACTGTAACCCATAAAAGCTCTGGAAATGATCTTTGGGTTACAAAAGATTTCTTGGTTTTGGGGGTGGGTTTTTTTGATTTTTTGGGAATTTGTTGGATTTTTTTTTTTTAAGCAAGACAAAGACAGTAGATTTGTAAGTGGCTCTGCATGGATGATGCATCGTGCCAGGTAAAACATTTTGCAGGTTGAGGCCATCAATCAATTCAAAGTTGGCATTATGGAAAAAAACTTACTTCTTCTGTTGAAGGAAAAAAATAAAAACCACCAAACCTGTTCCACTTGAAGTGGCTCTGGAAATGGATGATAAAGATGTTCCCAGTTACAAGAAACTGCTAGGCAGAAGTGTTGAGCCACAGGAGCCCAGCTAGCAAAGACCTCATCAGCAGGTTTCCGAATAGCATAGCAGAGATAGCCATCTGGTGGTCTCTGACACTCATGCCAATGTCTGGCTGTCCCTGCAACAGTGTGTGTAGCTCATCCAGTGCTGTTAAACACATTAAAGGTTTTAATCACGGAGGTAGTGTAAATGTAGGTAATGCGCCGGAAAAGGTAAGGACATCTGGATGTTGCAGCAGTCCTTAAGTGATGAAAATAAGTCATTTAATACCATGCCTCTTGAAATGACACTGCCATGTAGGAAAACCTTTTCCAGGCCAGTCTGACCATCACTAGGCAGATAGGCCTAGAAAGGGACCTTCTGCCCAAAAAAGTCTAGGAGCCAAGGCCCTAGAAGTGCAGCCCAAGAATCTACATGCCATGAGCTGCATTGGCTTTCCCACCTAGACCAGAGTTCTTGTTTAAGTCTAATTGACCCAAGGAAAGAACCGTATGAGCACTTGGGAAGGCTCAGTCTGGCCCGTATTTTCACACCTTGCCTGAACACCCACCAAACACATACCTTTAACAAAATCACCGTTTTTAAACGGGCAGCGGCAATCACAGCACAGGTAATAGCTGTGATGCTGGAACACGTGTTGAGGCAAGGTGGAATTCCAGGTCCCTTCTCAGCCTAAGAGCTGACAGTCCCATGTCCTGTCTCAGGAGCCAGCCCAAGCCACAGGTGACTTAAATGCAAGGGAGCAGGCAGGAGACGGTCCGCATCAGCCCTTCTCCTGTGGGAACTGAAGCTGAACCACAGCAGAGCTAAAAAAACTTCATGTAGGAGGCTAGACAGAAGGTAAAAAAGAGCCACATTACAGGCCCCAGACTGGGCAAAGGAAGGGCTGGATCTGGATCCTCATTCCCATGACACCTACTATTACAAACACTGCTGAGTTTCATGGATTCAGGAAAGAGGTCCCTCATAACCATTGTCATCAGCCAGAATATCAGCCCCTAGGACCTCTGAGACACAAAAGCATGAGAGAAGGATGTTGTTCTGATAACACTGGGTAGAAACTCTTAAGAGGTGAGCTAAGAGCAGAAGGGTCAGTGGCCTTCCTGACAAGGGGCACCATCCCACAGCACCCAAACCAGTAAACCAGTTTTGGTAATAGTGACAGAGCCAGCCAGCAGTTACCTGTGAGTCCAGCAGGCAAAGAGGCAGGCCTGGAGCCACGTCAGCAAGGCAACACCAGGGAGGTACAAAGCCACACACAGCACCTACACCCCAGCCCAGGCAAGGGATTCTACCGAAATGCAGTTCCCCTGCAATCAGCTGGAGGGTTCCGAGTGGAGACCCCCAGGGTAGATCCCTCC